GTTTTCCGTGATAATCACCAATGCTACCGACGCCAGGGAGGCAGCTCCCACACCTGGACCCTACCTATCGACCCATCAGCTCATGAACCGGAGACCAACGGCTTTACTTCCCTTCCGAAGGAAGGCGTGATCAGAGATGTTATGCCTCAGAATATCCTGGCGGCGCCGACTGGAATTGAACCCAGGCCTGCTGGGGTGAGAGACAATCACGCTTATCACTACACCACCGGCGCTGCTAAAAAATATTTCAAAAAGTGGTGTCTCTATTTTTCTGTTCAATACAATTGCGTTGCATTTTGTTACATTGAGTTTGAGTAGACTTTTACTACACCAAGTGTTGAATAAGTTTATTTCATTCTGGAATTCTTCTGTGTCGCTAGAATTACCTACTTATTTCCATGAAGAGCTTCATGTCGTCTGCATAAATAAGAACTATTATTTTTTAAGTAAGGGAAATGGATGTAATGTTTGCCTAAATGTCCCTAATTTAGGCCCATACATAAATTCAGCAATCGACTAAATTTTCAATAGCGACCAAAAATATCAATAAGTACCGTCCCAATGACGCGTTCATCTGGATTAAATTGATATATAGCAGATTTTTAGCGATGGGCCCAATCTTAGATCCATAGGCCAACATAGAGCCATTTCCCCTATGTAGGAAATGTCGTTTACGTACAAAATAAAAAAAAACAAACGAATTGGGCCTAAATGAGAACCCTGGGGCACACCAGAGGTGTCTGAAATAGGTTCTGAAAGTTTATTCTGAAAACGAACTATTTGTTTGCGTTGCGTTAAGTATGATTGGAGCCAATTCAGAAGTCTAGGGTCCATTCCTATTTTTTGCAATTTAAAGAGTAATAATGGTGTGTCGATTCGATCAAATGCTTTACTGAAGTCAGTATTAAGAGCATCCACGTGCTTGCCATTGTTAATTGCGTTAAGAATGAAGGTTACAAATTTAAGAAGATTAGAGGTAGCTGAACGACTTTTCAAAAAGCCGTGCAGTTTGATTTTTTTTACTTGCTGAAAAATTTAAAATGCATTCGTGTCGGAAAATTGTTACTTTTCAATTTCGTTTTCACATAATTGAAAAGTTCTTAGACATGATTTGACTTCATTTTCGACTCTACGATTATAATCTTCATGTGCAGTGTTAATGGCTGCGTTGAGTTGGTTGCATATGTTATGACAGTGTTGTAAATTTGTGCTAGTGCTTTCCTTTTTGTATAATTTGTGTCCTTTCTGCTTTTTGTTCTTCAAATATTTAAGTTGTGGATTGAACCACTTTGGCAGTTTGTTGTTTTGTGTTCGCCTTCTTCTTTTTATTGGTACGGTTTCTGAAATTATGTTACGAATAATTGAATGAAATCTGCCAACTTCAGTGTCGAAATTTCTTTCAATACTTATTATATTTTGCCAATTTATTGTACATAGTCTACGTTTGGCTTCATCGTAATTTGCTTTATGATATTCCGGCACTTCCTCGTACTCCCAGTCGCTGAGGGAAGAAGTATTTTGTATGAAGATTGAATATTCAATTGCTGAGTCGCAGTGTTGGAAAAGTTCGCGATATTTCACGAAGTTCACCAAGGGAAAAGTCCGCAATTCATAGTGAGTTTTCGCGAACTTTTCCATCTTTGGCTGAGTGAAACACTTCATTTTTACCATAAAGGTGATAATGATGCATACACACAGAAGTCTTCAGTACAGTTTGTTAATAAAAGGTCTAAATATGTGTTTTGCTGATTTTTCACGTGGTTAATTTGATGTAGACCTAAATATGAGATTTTGTCAAAGAGAAATTGTAATGTTTCGTCTTCACCTACGAAAAAGCAAAAATGATTCGTTTTCAATGTCTGTGATAAAGTCTGCGTTGCGTTGGTTGAATTCGCCATAAATATGCAGTTTTATTTCAGGTTCCATATTTGACATAACAGTTTCGACAATTTGGAAAAAAAAATCAAAGGAATGTTTGTTCGCATGTTCAGGTGGGAAATACACAGGAGTAAAAATGTGTGTTTCACCAGCAATAAGTGCTTTGGCCCATACATGTTCAAATCAGTTTGTATTTCTTCGGAAGTAAAGTCTGCATTTATGGCAATGAGAACACCACCTCCAGACTTTTTCTTACAAAGATATAGAATTCGGTCGCGCCGGAGTACATTAAAATTGTTTCCAAAAATTTCTTCGCTTCTTACGCTTTCGTCTCAGCTGGTTTCAGTTCCAAGAATTACATTGAAAGATGAAGATACAAAATTTTGGTGAATTTCTTTCACTTTGGCTGAGTTTTTCATGCGATTGAAATTTTGGCAATACACCAGGATTTCAGTCACATTCTGTTGAGGCGAAAAAGTTTTTGGAAGATTATTTATACTTACATTTTTATTTTCTTCTGAAAGTGTCCGAACAGTGTTGTCCTTTGATGAAAAGGTTCCTTCCGAAGTGTGCGTCAATGTCGATAAAAATTTTGGGTGCTGTAGAAATTATATTCGGCTTCCCGTGTCGTTGTGTGCGTTCATTAGATTAGAACGCACGGTGTGATTCCAGGTCTGCCAGGGCGTCAATGCGTGGGATTCTAAGTTCTTCGTGGACGTCCAGGAAAATTTCGAGCAAAAGTTGTGTGTCCATTGGTAGTCCTTCGGCTGCTAGCATTAAAGTTGAACTTGTTTTCGTTATTCCGCGGACACATGTCATACTGAAGGCGGTTGGTTATGCAGGAAAGACAGATATGTTCGCACAGTATCCATGATTTTAGGGTCCCGCAGGCGTGCCTTCAAAAAGCGTCTGTCGCCGGCTGCAGATTGTTTCGTAAGCCTTACGACAGGCGGGCGCATTGGGTCTAGGAGTGGTGAGTCAGGCTTTTCGGTGCGGTAAGGGTCAATAGTTTCCCCTTTTTGAAAGTTTATAAATTTCGTTGTATTGTCTTTACTTGGTGGTCCAGAAAATTGTATGCGTGCTGCGGCTGATAATTCTTTGCAAAGTAGAATAACAACCCGATATCACCTAGATAACAAGTCTTGTTATCCCAGATATCATTTTGTTTTCAGTTGTTATCGCATAACTTATTTAGTTATCAGCCTTGATCAATTTTGTTATCAGTTGTTATCATGAAAAAATCACTATATATTTATTAACATGCATTGTTATGGACGATTAAACTTATGTCCTAGAGGATTTCAAGCACCTTACAGGTTTAGTTTTCTATTCTGATATGGCCAAAAATACTACAGCTGAGTATTTCAGGACAAAGAAGGCATCGGAACTTCCCAAAAAAATACCTTATTTGGCAAGCGATTTGCACGAGTGGCCGAAAGAGTAAATCTTTCGTCACTACAGTCACAATCAACAAGGAGATTTACCAGAAAGAGTTGCTGCTGAAGGGATTGCTACCAAAAGCCACAAAGAAAACCCTTTGTCTTGGCACGGTTCAGCATCATGCCATTATGCTAAAACTGTGATGGAGTGTTACGAAGAAAATCAAGTGAATATTGTATCAAAAACCGTAAATCCGCCAAATTGTCCAGAGTTACATCCAATCGAGGGATATTTATTGGGCTCTGATGAAGCGGAAGCTTCCTGGAAAGAAACAAGGAATCAAATATATCAAACACTTTCAACAAATTTGGACAAAGGCGGCCACCACGGTATCTGAGGAGTCTGTACAAACCCTAATGGAGTTAAGCGCAAAGTTCGAAAATTTTATGCAAATACCGAATAATTATGTTTAGATTTACCTCTCACCCCAGCAGGCCTGGGTTCAATCCTAATTGGCGTCGCCGGGATGTTCTGAGGCATAACATCGCTGATCACGCCTTCCTTCGGAAGGGAAGTATAGCCGTTGGTCCCTGGTTCATGAGTTGATGGGTAGGGTGCAGGAGTGAGACCTGCCTCCCTGGCGTGGGTAGCATTGGTGCTCAGCACGGAAAACAAGATCGACGGAAAACAAATCAAAAGAAGAAGAAAACATCCCATGAATCTGAAATAAACAACTACAATTGAAATATATTTGGGTTTTATTTAAGTTTTTATGTGTCCGGATTTTTGTGGATACAGACCTTATTATCCATTTAAGCAGAGCTATGACGCATGCTTCATTCATGGCTCCTTTGGGGCCTCCCTCAGTTCACTCAGTAAAGGCGCAGATATAAAGCAAAACTATGCTGTAGGTGGCTGGGTTCGACCCCCAGTCCGGTCTAGGACTTTTTCGGGTTGAAACTTCTTGACTTTCCTAGGCATAGAGTATGATTATACTTGCCACACAATTATACAAGTGCAAAAATGGTATAGGCTTAAAAAGCTCTCAATCAACAACTGTGAAAGTGCGTCTAGAATTCTAAGTTGAGTAGAGGGCCGTCGTAAATTCTGAGTAGGGACGTTATTAATTCCAAAGAAGAAAATGGGTTCTTCAGTTGCAAACCAAAAAGTCTCGACGAACGTTCTACCCCGTTTGAAAAAATCATGTAAATTTCTGTGATATCACACGTTATTAACGCAAGATTTGGCTTAACTTCACATGACACTTCATGTAAATTTAAGCGCGATATCGCATAAATTATCAATGTCATATTCAAGCTTGCAAACAATGTTGTTAGTTATGCCAACTATAACTCAAAATCAAACGAGGGGAGATATTTCACGATGATTAAAATTCAGATTTTTGTTTCTGTATAGCTTACTATTTCAATAAAATAATGAAGCATGAGCTGACGCTACGATTACTAAAGCATTGATTCAACTGCGGCTCATTTAAAATATCGACAGCTAGCCTTCCGGAAAAGTTTATCTGAATGCATCTACCCTTCCGATACCCAGTTCTACCAAGGATTTCGGAAGAATCATTATGCAAATTTATGCGATCGCCCATCCACCCTCTGCAGAAGTTATATAAGTCCTGTGGAAATCCTCGTCCCGAGTTTAGTCTTAGTTCGGTTGCACTCGATATAACTTCTCTACGCAGAGAAGCACGTGGTGCGTGCGCGCGATAACAAACCGGCATAATGTTCGATACATTATTCCGTGGCCGGCGCAATGACCGTCGAGCCCGCGAAGTAGCCAGCATTGGCGAGTATGAATCACGTGCAGCTGAAGCGTTGGAGCGGAACGCTCATGAATTCTTCCGAAGTGGTGCCGGTTGTGAGCAGACGATGCGGCTGAATAGGTCGTGCTTCGAAAAGATACGGATCAGACCTCGATGTTTGGCACGGGTCGGCAATCGCAGTTTGGCCGCCAGCGCGATGGGGTGTAACTTTAAGATGCCGTTTGGAATTGGACCGGTGGCACTCGCAAAGCTGGCACACTGTGATGGTGAAAAGGCTTTGGCCCGGGCGGCAAGGTCCATGGGAGTGCCCTTTGTTCTTAGTGCTCTGTCCAGTGTGTCACTGGAGGATGTTGCAGAGGCAGTGCCAAAGACTCCCAAGTGGTTTCAGCTGTTCATTTTTAAGGACCGAGAGATGACCGAAAATTTGATTCGTCGTGCAGAGCGGGCTCGATATAAAGCCTTAGTGGTAACGGTGGATTCACCAGTGATTGGACTGAGAAGGTCGGAGCTTAAGAATCCGACAAATCTCCCGTCCAAAGTGACGTTGGCGAACTTTTGCCCTCCACATAATAATGTTTGTTCGAAAAACATTACGGAATACGTGAGGAACCAGTTCGATCCGACGGTGGGATGGGACTCGTTACGGTGGTTGCTGAGCATAACCAGTTTGCCGGTGATTTTGAAGGGAGTTTTGACCAGAGAGGACGCTCTGATGGCAGTGGATCTGGGAGTGCAGGGAATCATTGTTTCCAATCACGGAGGACGACAGCTTGATAGTGTTCCGGCTACTGTAAGTTTGGTTTGATGGCAGTAGATTTGAAATCTTTGATGAAAATAGGGGACGGAGAAAGTACCGTCATGGGGGGCTACTTTTAACTCGGAGGGCTAATTTGTACACATTCAAATATGTTGAACGAAATGAAGTAGATTAAAGAATTGAATGTTTATCCATAACTTGCTACTGGGACTGCAGTGTACTTGATTATACACCCAGATTTGCTTGCAATAATGAGGGACTCATCATCGCAGGATGTTAGTGGAGACCGGAAGAATGGAGGATGAGATACACCGAGTTGCGGTTCAATGCAAAAAAAAATGGTGAACGAAAAATGTGGAGTGTGTTAGTGAGTGAAATTAATGATGTTGAAACAAATAGCAAACAAGTTTGCCGACTGGACCTGAACCACGAGCGTTGTTGATTATCAGACCTGTGCTTTCTCCACTGCTCTCTCCATGCATCGGGATATGGATAGGCAAAAAGCGAATAAGAAGCGCTCCTAGTACGATAACTTGATTTCGTATGCTTTTTCGGCTAAACAGGAATTGGAGAGAATCGTGGCAAGTGTGTGCGTCGTTCTACAATTTATAAATAAAAAGCAAATCAAATGCTTGCTTGTTTATTCGAAAGCGTAGACAAAACAAGAAATAAAATAATATTAAAAATCACTGCATCGTATGCAAGGTCAACTTATATCATTCGCTGCCGAGGATGATAGGAAATGCAACTAACATTGAATGTAATACATTTTTGGTTTGCGAGTGTAACATCTTCATGTCACTAAGTGCTTCTCAGAATTATGCGGAAAAGTTTAACTACGAGTTTTATAAAAAGTGTAACTTGACCCAAAATCGTTTTTGAAACTTGTAAAATCACGTAAAAGCTTCTCTCAAGAGTCGATACACATTCATAATACCGGATAGTGCAGGATATTTCATGAGAAAATTGTTTATAGCAATGCTATTGACAGGTAACGAAGGGAGTAGATGTTTCTCGATATTAAATCTCCACATTACAAACATATCATTATTTTTTAAAAGTTCTTTCAAACCTGTAATCATTCAATCAGACTTTTAACTTTGGGTTGTTGTTTTTGGATGGAGTTTATGATGTCGAATGACTTTGACCATTTAATTAGCAAATTATGAAGATTTATCACATGTCCAAAGTAGCCCCACTGTTCACATTTCAGACTGCGTTTTTGTACAATCTTGCTTGGTCGTTCATGTACTTCTCATTATACACCAATACAGCTAATCCTATTGTTATTTACTTTATTTATTTTATACGAACCTTTCAAAGTTCACTTACACCAAAAAAGTGTTAAAATATGCCCCGTCCAGCGGTTTTTCAAAATTACTGTTACATTTAGACGGTGTAAACTGAACTGTTAGCGATATACACTACCCGTCATAAGTGATGACTCGCGTGGAAAAGTATTGCAACACTCGTTTGAATATTGCATCACCCCCAAAAAAGTTTAGCATCACCCAAGAAAAGTTTATATTTTCACTTAAATTTGAACAAATTCACTGTATCACTGTTAAATTATTGTAGTAAACATTCAGAAAGCCAGAATTAGACTATGAAAGTGTTGCAGAAAGTGATGGCTCCCGGTAGAGAAGTTAGATATCACTATGGATAGTACTGAATCATTTCGAGCTAGAAATCATTTCAAATTTATTGATGTAGTAGATTTTCAGGTCTGATTCACATCCAATTCAAGTGATTTCAAACTTTTCAGCTCTGATTCACATCAAATTCAAGTGATTCCAAACTTTTCAGGTCTGATTCACATCCCATTCAAGTGATTTCAAACTTTTCAGCTCTGATTCACATCCAATTCAAGTGATTTCAAACTTTTCAGCTCTGATTCATATATTTCAAGTGATTTCAAAATTTTCAGGCCTGATTCACATCAAATTCAAGTGATTTCAAACTTTTCAGGTCTGATTCACATCAAATTCAAGTGATTTCAAACTTTTCAGCTCTGACTCACATCAAATTCAAATAATTTCAAACTTTTCAGGTCTGATTCACATCCAATTCAAGTGATTCCAAACTTTTCAGGTCTGATTCACATCCAATTCGAGTGATTTCAAACTTTTCAAGTCTGATTCACATCAAATTCATGTGATTCTTATCTTTTCAGGTCTGATTGACATCCAATTCAAGTGATTTCAAACTTTTCAGCTCTGATTCACATCAAATTCAAGTGATTTCGAACTTTTCAGCTCTGATTCACATCAAATTCAAGTGATTTCAAACTTTTCAGATCTGATTCACATCCAATTCAAGTAATTCCGAACTTTTCAGGTCTGATTCACATCCAATTCATGTGATTTCAAACTTTTCGGGTCTGCTTCACATCAAATTCATGTGATTCTAAACTTTTCAGGTCTAATTCACATCAAATTCAAGTGATTTTAAACTTTTCAGTTCTGATTCACTTCTAATTCAAATCATACCAAACTTTTGTGTATAGAATCGCAACGATTTCACGAGATTCTAAACTTTTCAGGTCTGATTCTCCGTGGATCGATATTATTCTTATGGCGGGTAAAATATATTAAATGATTAACTATTTTTCATAGTAATTTCAAACTTATCTACTAAGGATCAATAAATTTGAAACGATTTCTAGCTCGAAATGATTCAGTACTATCCATAGTGATATCTAACTTCTCCACCGTGAGCCATCACTTTCTGCAAAACTTTCCTAGTCTGATTAAGAGCTTTTTGAATGTTTACCACAATAATTTAACAGTGAATTTATTCAAATTTTAGTGAAAACATAAACTTTTCTTGGGTGATGCTAAACTTTTTCAGGTGATGCAATATGCAATACTTTTCCACGCGAGTCGTCACTTATGACGGGTGGTGTAATTGTATATCTTTGAATTGTTTACTTGCTTCAGAAGTGCGTTGTCAAATTTACAATTGTAGCCTTCACTAAATGATCAATCCTCGACGATTATTTCAATCAGTTCAATCTTCATCGATCGTTCCTTTTTATTTAATTTCTATTTAAACTCAGTGGTTTTCAGTAAAGTTGATAATGGAAAACATTCTTTTCTCTCAAATAGCCAATTGTCCCTTAAAGAAAGGCTTCGATAAAGCGAACGTAAATTTATTTTTCCTCAGTATGAGATCGCAACTCAGTGAGGAACACACTTGTTGGTTGCGCTACTTTGACGAGCTCGTCAAACCCCACGCTCCCCGAACGGTCGACGTAGACAGCCGAATCCATCCACACCCATCGTTCGAACAGAGGATTGTTGGAATACGGGACAATAGGAAGGTTACGGCAGATAAACAACAAATGCTTTTGTTCAAAGTTTCGTCTGGCTCATCTTGGCATACAAAACAATTATTAAGAACTAAATTTACTCTAATTGAACTCTTAAACTACAGGTATAACCACAAAATTAGTCTATCTAAAACTTAATTAAAAATTTAATCTAAAAATTTATTAATGATAGTGCGAGTGCGATACGGTCGACGGAAAAGAAGGAGAAAGGTTTTTAAAACTACTATATAAGCGAGCAGTGAAGGTGAGAATCGAACTTAAACTAAAATTTAGAGCTAATAATGGACTAAAGTAAAAACCTAATCAGAAATAGGACATAGATCGGACGGTAAAGTTGTTGTGGACAACCAAGCAGTAGAGAATCACAACAAGTAAGTTACTTTACGATGAGATTCAATGATAGACATTTATAAATAAGTTAAATTGCAGGATTTTGTAATTCTTTATTAACCACCCAATAAATTCACGAAATCACGATTCATCTGCTACCGCACAACATCTTACAAAATCTTGTTTGCACGTCGAGGATGTCTCGCAAATCGTCAACCAGATCCAGGTCGGAATTGAGTTCTGCCTTGGGTGCGGTAAGCCAACTTTTCGGTACAGGCGATGTGGGTAGCGCAGCAGACAAGGACACGGGAACTCCAATAACCGATGCAGATGTAGTTGCCGGGATCAACAGTCTCACTATCGTGACCAACGCGAAACGCGGAGCGAAGGACTCGATGAAATCGGCAACAGGCGCAAAGAGCGATGCAGCTGTGGTAAAAGTAGTTCCTCCCCCTCCTAGTCCTCAGGTAAATCTTGACGTTACATACCCAAAATAAAGGCTAGTGCTAATACTAAAGTCAATCCCGTCCGGTCGTCAAATATTGTCGTTAACGCGAGACCCAACGCGCGACTTGATCTGAACCAACGCGTTCATATAACTCGGTACAGTCATTGCGAGTTGTGTAGTGAACGTGATACTAGTAGAATGGTGCAGTGTGATGGTTGCGATAAGTGGTATCATTTCTCTTGTGTAGAAGTGACTAGTGGCATAGCGGACTACAGCTGGATTTGTCCAAAGTGTCCATACATGCATTTCGGCGCAAGTCATCAAGAGCAGCAGACACCAATGCTCCAGCAGATTCAACCGGTAGATCCACCCCCCAACTCTGTAAGTTCAAAGAAGTCCACCGGAAAGGCAAGCAGTAACCGGAGCAATCAACGGAAGGTCGATCGACTATTGCAGAAGCTGGAAGAGCAGAAGCAGTTGGAACAAAAGTTTTTGGATGAAAAATACCGCATTTTGGATGAAGAGGACGCTGACGATGAAACTGTCGCCAGTGATGATGATGTAGGATCCGAGGAGATGTCCAAAGTGAGAGGATGGCTGAGAGATACGGAAAAGTGTGGTGAAGATTCTGATTCCGGTCTGGTGGAAGAAGAGTTGAACGATGATCAACTGCAAGCTGTCATTCAGCTGGCACCGACTATGGGGCAGACGGAACCGCAATCATCTCTACATGGTTTCGTTCCTAACCAACGTTCAACGCCTCAAGAGACCGTTCGTATGGATCCGAGGTTGAGGAGCCGTGTAATGCAACCTTCCGTTCCAGCACCGATCCCTGAAAGCCTGTTCCGCCGACCACCGGCACCAGTTCCAGAGGAGCCATTTCGTCAGCCTGTTGTTCCAGATACCCAGTTCCGTCAACCACCA